GCCTTCTGTCCGGATGACCCCGAGATCATACAAGCTGCGGCAGCACAGGGATTGACTGTAACGAGTGCCAGAGAACAAGCAGCCAACTTAGGTATTACTCTTCGTGAACTGTTAGGCCTTGATGAGGCGCCAGTGAAGGAGGTAGTAATTACATATGTCAAGAAGGGGCCTCTCGTCGAGCCTGCGCAGGAAAAGGATCTACCTCCACAAATGAAAGGTCTGCTGAAATGGTACAAGGGTTACATAAAAAATAAAAACGCCAAAGAATATATTTATGCGGAAGTTAGACATGAGCATCACTTCAAACATTACTATGTACAAATTGAACTGAGTGAATTGTTCCAGCTTTTCAATCTGCGCGAGCTCGATAAATCTATCATCAGTTGCTACGTTCTGTAAGTGATTTATTAATTTCTACCCCATCTCGTTCATATTGCCTGCACTATATATATGTCCTAACTATATTGTTGTGTCCGCTATTATACATGTAGAATGAAGATTAAGGAATGCAGAGTAAGGAACATCCATGATGTTGGGTTCATTGACCCACACATCGTTAATGGACATGTGTTGGAGTGTTACCCCGCCGACGTGGAGGCAGACCTGTGGCAGTTTCTTACAAAGCAGGAACTCAAAAGTGATATTCTATTTCCTTACCATTTTGAGTGAGTGTTTCTGTCTTGAGCACATTCTCTTTTGTTTACTCCATGCATGGTATGTGGCCGGCTAATCGATGAGTTATGCATGACGTACTGTGCATGTATCGTGTCCGCAGGTTCCACTGGATTCTGCTAGTAATTAAAGTTAACACCTCAGAATGTCTCGTCCACGACTCTGTGAATATGGATCCAAAGCTTTGGGGCGGCATGAGAAGAATGCTGCAGAAGTAATTATTTTCATTCATTTGCGCTCTATATCGATCGGCCTATTTCGTTCATTTCCTAATATCAAGTAACTAATTAATAACTCTCTTGTTCATTTAATTTTCTTTGCCTCGTAGGGTTTGGAGATGGTTCGTAGATACAAAGGTCGGTGAATTCAAAAAAGAGCTAGAATTCAAAATGTTAAAGGCTAAGAATGCTGGGGATATTCAGCCACCGGAGACCAATCTATGTGGATACTATGTCTGTGAGATGATCCGGAGATACACCTCTGAGCGGGTTCCGAGTGATACCAATGCTAAGAGGAATAACCTCCGGTGGATGCTTAGTCCAGAAGCTCGCTTCCGACCACTTCAAGAGGAACTAGCTGGATGATTCAGCAGGGAAGTCCTCCATCCTAAAGGAGAACACTATTACGAGGACGTAGAACTTTATATGCATTAAATCATGTATGGAAACTTGTTCAAAATTGTATATGGTCATCCGATGATATTGAATATATATTGTATATTCCTCTTGAATTCTTTTTGGTTCTAATTTCAAATTTATTTGAAATTGTACATTCATATGCATGTATGTAGTACCGTAGAATATATGAAACTCCTTCAAAATTAAAATAAAGCACAAAAGAAATAAAACAATACAAATTAAACAGAAAACAGGTTTAAGGGGGGGGGCTAAAACCCTAAACCTGCGGCGGCCTTTAGTCACGGTTGGCCAGAAGAACCGCGACTAAAGGTCCTCCGCCCCGACGGCCACCTGGCGCCCACGTGGACGGGCCTTTAGTCGCGGTTCTTAAGCAACCGCGACTAAAGGGGGGGGGCCTTTAGTCGCGCCCGGTCTGTCGCGGTTGCGCAACCGCGACTAATGGCAGTTGCGAACCGCGACCAAAGGCCCTTTTTCCACCAGTGTTCAAATACATGTTCGTCGCCAGGCCTGTCCCAACTCTTGTTTCTCCTTTTAGAACCGGCCACTGATTCTTGCTTAGCCGATCGGGCAAATGGCGTCCCGGCCACTCGATTAGACGTACGGCCGAGCGGTACGTATGTGGTTCGCACTCGCACGCCCTGCCCTGCCTGGAATCGGAGCCGGTGGCGTGCGCGCAACCCTGCCAGGCGTGGTTCCCATCCTGCACCGCTTGACTGCGACCGTGAGCTCCTCGTCCGATCCAGCCGGACGTACGCCGGCGTTTCGTCCAAGCCACGCCCGCCTTGACTATCCATCCATGGAGACGACAGTGATCATCTGCTTAACACATACAGTAACCACTAGCAGAAAGTACTAAGTACTCCATTGATGCGCCTTCCTCCGAGGGAAACCCACTGTCCTCCTCCGCCCTAATTAAGCACGACCTCTCGCCATCACTGGCTAGCTTAGGAGAATCTGCAGCTTCCGTCGATGTCTCCGTGTCGCTTGCCAACACGAACCACTAGCAATACAGGGAACTATACCTTGGTTACGTCGAGCTATGCTCAATGCACGCACGCAACGCAACTGCTAGCACCACACGAACGTACTGGCCGGGTCACTCACCGTCAGATCGAGGCACATTCTACCCATCCGTCTACACACACGAGTACGTGGTTCTTTTGCTTCACTCGCACCACCAATCGCAGCGCAGCAGAGCCGGCCACCGCCACCGGATCGAAACGCGTCCACGTTCATTATCTTCCTCCGACCCCATCACCAGCTACCCGCGTCCACTTGTTCTTTTTCCCACCTACTCGTAGATAATTGAGCCGATCAGACCAATGATATTTGTGGATCGATGGTGCTCGCCCAAACGACACCCCACTTACTAAATGGGACGGCCTGGCATTAATTTTTGGAGCCTGTAGCGTGCGCGCAACAAGCCGCTCCGACCCTGTAATGCGAGAATGCGACGGCGACTGACCGCGAGTGTGACATGTTTTGCGGCCGGCGTCTCGTCCGAGCCACGCCTTGACTATCAATGGCAGGCGACAGTGATCCGATTGCCTATCAGCCTAGCACTGTCAGTGTATATGTATGGCAACGACAGCGATCCCATTGCTTTATCAGCCTAGCACTATGCATATGTATGGCAACGACAGCGATCCGGTTGCTTAGAGCATCTACAACCTGTAGCCTAATTTAGGGCCCTAGACGCCTCCTGACGCGGCCACGATCAGTGACCCGGCACATTCTTTTGGTCTTTGCCCCACAACCACAACCCCGTATGTCCACACCCAAACCCGTACAAATGTATTTACATTATGTAGATGATCCATACAACTTATAAAACACTACGATCGGACATAGATAGGGCAATCTAACACGCATAAATTTCATTCAAAAAGATCATCGGAGTCCAAACTTAACTAGCATACAAGATTAAAAAGTAATTAAACATAGGGAGGCCGCCGGAGTTCACCACTTCCTTGCTGGCCGCTTCCCCTTAGGGTCTTGGGAGCGGCGGTTGTACTCGACGTAGGCGTTGGCGGCAGGCGGAGCGTCGTCGTCCGTCGTGTCACTGTCTGAGAAGGAGTTGATGATGATCCGCGTCATGCGCCGGGCGTGCGGTTCTGTTCCGCCGCAAGTTGTGTGGTTCTCTCCGCCACAACTACCCTCTGTCACGCCAACATCTCGGACTCGTCGAGCCCGATGCGGAGCGCCTTCGCATTTTTGCGACGCCCACGGGGAGCGGTTGTCTCCGCCGAGGTGAATGAGCGGTGGATCACGTCATGGAGCCCCTCGTTGTTATCGGAGGCGGACATCAGCGGCTCCGATGCCGATTTTGCAGGACCCGCAACCGGAGCGGCTCGACGCGCCCTCCGCTGCCCTTTTCAGTGCGCACCGATATGCGCGCCCTCGGTTTTCGCCTGGCGCCATAGGTTGCGGGGACGAGGCTCCTCTGACGTACTGCAGGGTGCAGTTGGGCCACTGACAGGTGGGCCCGAAAGCAAGTTGGCCCACCTGTCAGTGACCCAACTGCACCCTGCAGTACGTCAGAGGAGCCTCGTCCCCGAAAGCAAGTTGGCCCACCTGTCAGTGACCCAACTGCACCCTGCAGTACGTCAGGGGAGCCGAGTCCAGGTTGCGGGCACTAGTACCCAGCTCGTTCGGCAGCATGTGTTGGCGGTGTTGGGTGCCACTGGTCACCTTGTTGCCTCACGGGGAAGGCAGGAACCGCGTAGTGCGACCGCGGATAGTCGCGGAGCTGTTGTTGCCCACCCTGGCCGCCGGGGATGCCGTGGACAAGGAGCTCTTGCCCCAGTCCATTTGTGAGCAGCGCAGGGCAATGCAGAGACTAGCTCCTGCTAGTCCGGTGCATACGAGCTCGACGAGTCCATGGTAAGCTTGGTCGAGTCCGCTTCCCGCCATGGTGGAAGGGAGGGAAGGGGACTTGGAGAGGAAGAAGATAGGACGGGAGTGGTGCAGAGTGGTTGAGTGCGTAGTGGTGTAGAGTGGTCGTAGACGGTCTTAGCACCACTAGCACCAAAGTGAATCGTCTGATAATAATCGTAATTGGGTGTGCCTAGGTCTTAGAGATATTGCCAAGTCTCACTCAATTAACATAACATGCAAGAGAGAAAAAATGTAAAATCTCACGGATATAACATCAATCAGACTTAACAACCAAGTCTCAGTCGACTAATACTCAGCAAGACTGTCAGTAATTAAATAAGTTGGCCTCTCGCCATCACATGGGGAATCTGCGGTCTTGTCTCTCCGTTGCTTGCCAACACAAATCACTAACTCTACTCACCTTGGTACGTCCTCAACAAAACACGCACGCAACTGCTGCTCCCCTACAGAGTCCAGCGACCCTGCATTATAAAAGGCGCCGTATCGCCGGCATGCTTGAGCACGCACGAGGCACGAGCGAGCAAACAGAGTCCACCATAGCTCAGATGATGGTGGCGGCGTAGGCACCAGAATCTCCACGGGAAACCAAACCATACTCTGCCACGAGACGCGAGACGAGAAGATCTCCAATCCGCAGCTGAGCCGCGAATCCAAGATCCACACGACCGCACACCCCACCCTCCCCACGGGCCCGCCTCCCTCCCTTTAATCACCGCCGATTGGATCCCATCACCACCAGCCCAATCACCATCGTCATCGCCTCGCATTGACCAATCCATCTCTTCCGGCGCCATGGCCATGGCGAGCCGCAAGCTGCTACTCCTCCCGTGCCTCGTCCTGCTCTTCGTCGCCGCGGCAGCGGCACTGGTCGAGGCAGCCCAGCCGCAGTCCACGTACATCGTGCACCTCGCGCCCGACCACCCGGCGCTGTCCCTGACCCCCGCGCGCGGCGGACGCAACGCGCTGCTCGGCCCACTCCTCGGCCTCCCGCGCCGCCTGAGCGCGCCGCGGCCGCGCCTGCTCTACACCTACGCGCGCGCCGCCACGGGCGTGGCCGCGCGGCTCACGGACGCGCAGGCGGCGCACGTCGCGGCCCAGCCGGGCGTGCTGGCCGTGCACCGCGACCAGGCGCGCCAGCTCCACACCACCCACACCCCGGAGTTCCTCCACCTCAACGGCGCGGCCGGGCTGCTCCCCGCCGCGTCCGGCGCCGTGTCCGACGTCGTGGTGGGCGTGCTCGACACCGGGATCTACCCGCTCAACCGCAGCTCCTTCAAGCCCGTCGGCGACGGCCTCGGCCCCCCGCCCTCCTCCTTCTCCGGGGGCTGCGTCTCGGCTGGCAAGTTCAACGCCTCCGCCTTCTGCAACGGCAAGCTCATCGGCGCCAAGTTCTTCTACAAGGGGTATGAGCAGGCCCTCGGGCACCCCATTGACGAGACGCTGGAGTCCAAGTCGCCGCTGGACACGGAGGGCCACGGCACCCACACCGCGTCCACGGCCGCCGGCTCGCCGGTGGACGGCGCCGGGTTCTACGACTACGCGCGCGGGAGGGCCGTCGGCATGGCCCCCGGCGCGCGCATCGCCGCGTACAAGATCTGCTGGAAGGCCGGCTGCCTCGACTCCGACATACTCGCGGCGTTCGACGAGGCCGTCGGCGACGGCGTCAACGTCATCTCGCTCTCCGTCGGCTCCACCTACGCCGCCGACTTCTACGAGGACTCCATCGCCATCGGCGCCTTCGGGGCGGTGAAGAAGGGCATCGTCGTCTCCGCCTCCGCGGGCAACTCCGGCCCCGGAGAGTACACCGCGAGCAACATCGCGCCGTGGATACTGACCGTCGGCGCATCCACCGTCGACCGTGAGTTCCCCGCCGACGCGGTGCTCGGCGACGGCAGCGTGTACGGCGGCGTGTCGCTGTATGCAGGGGAGCCCTTAAACTCCACCAAGCCCCTCGTGTACGCCGCGGACTGTGGCTCCCGGCTTTGCCTCATCGGCAAGCTTGACAAGGACAAGGTCGCCGGAAAGATCGTCCTTTGTGAGCGCGGAGTCAACGCTCGTGTCGAGAAGGGCGCGGCCGTCGGGAAGGCCGGCGGGATCGGCATGATTCTCGCCAACACGGAGGAGAGCGGCGAGGAGCTCATCGCCGACCCCCACCTCATCCCGTCGACAATGGTGGGGCAGAAATTCGGCGACAAGATCAGGCAGTACGTCAAGATCGACCCGTCCCCGACGGCGACCATCGTCTTCCACGGCACGGTCATCGGGAAGTCGCCGTCCGCGCCGCGCGTCGCGTCCTTCTCGAGCCGCGGCCCCAACTCCCGCGCGGCGGAGATCCTCAAGCCCGACGTCACGGCTCCCGGCGTCAACATACTCGCGGCATGGACCGGCGAGGCCTCCCCGACCGACCTCGACATCGACCCGAGGCGCGTCCCGTTCAACATCATCTCCGGGACGTCCATGTCGTGCCCGCACGTGAGCGGCCTCGCGGCGCTGCTCCGGCAGGCGCACCCGGAGTGGAGCCCCGCGGCGGTCAAGTCGGCGCTCATGACCACGGCGTACAACCTGGACAACTCCGGCGAGATCATCAAGGACCTGGCCACCGGCGACCAGTCGACGCCGTTCGTCCGCGGCGCTGGGCACGTGGATCCCAACAGCGCGCTCGACCCCGGGCTGGTGTACGACGCCGACACCTCCGACTACATCGGCTTCCTGTGCGCGCTGGGGTACACGCCGTCCCAGATCGCGGTGTTCACCAGGGACGGCTCCGTCGCGGACTGCTCGGAGAAGCCCGCCCGCTCCGGCGACCTCAACTACCCGGCGTTCGCGGCTGTCCTCTCGTCGTACAAGGACTCGGTGACCTACCACCGGGTGGTGCGCAACGTCGGCGGCGACGCCGGCGCGGTGTACGAGGCCAAGGTGGAGAGCCCCGCGGGCGTGGACGCCACGGTGACGCCGGCCAAGCTGGTGTTCGACGAGGAGCACCGGAGCCTGGCGTACGAGATCACCCTGGCCGCGTCCGGCAACCCGGTGATCGTGGACGGCAAGTACTCGTTCGGGTCGGTCACGTGGAGCGACGGCAAGCACAATGTCACGAGCCCCATCGCCGTGACGTGGCCGGAGAGCGCCGGAGCAGCGTCCATGTAGAGATGTAGCGACGCTGGTGTCACACGACTGTTTGAGTTTACTCTGCGCGCGCCTGTGAATGTCTACTCCATTATTATTAACTCTGGAATAATTTATTTTGGGTCATAATACTGTCTCGTGCTCGATGTTGTTTATTCCGCTCTGCACCACCGTGTACATGCCACAAGAGAAAAGAAAATACCGGTGTGGATTATGAACTTGTTCATAAATACCGGTGTGAAAATACCAATCATAATTCTCCAGGTCAGCTTGTCTAAGTGACTTAATTATTAAGTATAAAAGGAAAAGAAAGGGGTGTGTTTAGGGCACATCTAGATGTGCTCTAGTTATTGCACATCTAAATGAGTGAGTTAAGTGTAAAGAAAAAAAGAAAAAAGACAAAGAAAAGGTTTGCATGAATATTAGCGTAAAACCAATGAAATATGATTTAGATGTGCAATACTTATGGCACATCTAGATGTGCTTTACAAAACTGAAAAGAAAAAGAGAGAAGAAAATACCCGCACGAATCTCCAGGTAATATCAATGATATAGGATTTAGATGTGCAATACTTATGACACATCTAGATATGATTTAGCAAAACAGTTAAAGTAATTTGTTTTCGAGAATATACATGGCGCATACAGTTTTTTTTAATTATTCTACAAAAGCTATTTTTCATTTTGTAGCTTTGGTTGTGTATTATCTTGTTCCGTGGTTTTTACCCACCAAAATAAAAGGACGTTGATATTGCGGGGTCGTTCGGTGAGAGCCCTTTTCGAACAGGACGAATCGTTCCTCAGAGCATGGGGAAACGATTGAACGATTTCGTTCGGAGCGGAGGCCTCCCAGAGCGAACCTTCCAGACGCTTGTGCTAGCAGGCCAAACAAGCCAATTTAGGTATCAAAAACGCTAAAAAACAGAAAACCAACTAAAAAACCGAGAGAAAAACTCTACAGTAAAAAACACACAGAAATATAGAAAATTCATATAAAAACTGATGGGAAATATATAAAAATTGCCATGGGTTAAATGATAAAATTGACTTTTATACTTGTTAAAACAACCACACACACAAAAAACACACAAAGAAAAAGAAAAAAAATGTCATGATAGAGGACAACTAGAAAAAAAATCATGGTCCGCACTAAGAAGAAGGATTTTTTTGCCATGCACCAACAAGAAAATAAATATTGCCATGCTTAAAAATAATTAATTTCCATGTACTGGAAAATAAATTTGCCATACAGTGGGAAGTTAAAATTCCATGGGTGTAACATAGAAAAGAATTTCCTATGCCCCATAAACTACATTTGCCAAGCTCCGTGAACTAAGTTTCCATGTTCCATTAGATAGTAATTTTTTTTGCCATTGTTGCAGAAAGAAAGATAATTTGCGATGCTTCATAAACTACAAGTGCCATGCTCCATGAACTTAATATGCATAGTCTCGTAGAAAGTACTTGTTTCCATGTTGCAAGAGAAAAAAAGGGTATATGAATTATAGATCATTTGTCATGGCAATTTTAGAGATCTCTAAATCAAAAAGATTTCTATTACATGGCAAATATGTACATCATAGTGTATTTACATGGCAAGAAATGATATGTAAAGAATTAAAAGCAATTTGCCATGGAAACTATTTACTAAGGGGAGTGAGCCTAGGCAAATGATTGGGGGAGTGGATGTACAAAGAAGAATAGATTTTTCGTGCCCCATAAACTACATTTGCCATGCTCCGCAAACTTAAGTTGCCATGTTCCATTGCAAAGTATTTTTGGTACCATTGTTGCAAAAAAAGAGGATTTTTTTGCCATGATAGATAAACTACAAATGCCATGGTCTCATAAAAAGAGATTTTTGCCATGATGCAAGAGAAAAAAACTTAGCCCTAATCTTACAATGACAAGACTTTGGCATGCCATTTTGAAAGAATAAAAAGAGTTTGCCAATCTATGTTACACAAGACTTGTTGTCGATTTATATATGTAACTAGATCATTCAAGGCGCGCGTTGCTCGCCCATCTATTTTACTATGGATTGACATGAATTTTCACAAATATTTGATGAAAAGATGAAACTTAAAGACAAACCAACATGCTAGCAAATGGGAGAAAATATGCTAATGTTGAAGTTGTGTGTTGTTGTTGTGAGTACCTGCAGGTTTCGAAACAAGGATGATCTATCTCAGAGACTTTCTGGTCAATCTCATTAGAAATATATTTGGAAAGCAAAGCACAAGAAACAATGAGATTGGGCCTGGAATCAATCTTAATCACATGGAACATTATTTATTGCAGAACTACGCGAAAAAATACAATGAGTTTTGGCATGCATGGAAGCTATCTTTAGCAGATCAAACCTCGTAGGTTATTGTTCCTATCAAATGAATCATAGCCCTTCAAATGTCAGATGGTATTCCGATGTGATTTGTATGCTAAGACAGTTTATCACATACTACCAAATAAACATGTCTCATTGGCAATGTTGTTATCAAAATTAACCATCCACTCAAACTAATAATGAACAATAACATCACTTAAAAAGAAGACATTTTTCAATCTCATCATTGGTCGTCCTAATCATTAATTTCAGAATAAAGCATTCAAGCTGGATCGTAAAAAGAATCTCATGAAATAACACTTACTTCTTTAGCCCTAGCATATGTAAGGGCATATTTACCCCTTAGTTGTTTTGGTGATTGATGACAATGCTTTTGCGGACTAATCGTGTGCATTGAGTATCTCAGACATTTCATCACTAGGCACAAGACGATTTGGTGCCCCTCGAAGACTATTGAAGACGGTGTTTCTCTACGTTTCTTTTTGGTGGATTTGAGTCGTAGGAAAGCCGTACTATTAAGAGGGGGTCCGCTTTGGAAAGGTTTGGGTGGAATCATCACGTACACGTCTACTCCTTTTGCAGCACCTTTCCTTTGGTACTTTGGAGCATCCTCCATCTTTTCTTGTCTATGCAAAATGTCGTGATTGCTGAACTGGGGCATGCGATAGTACTGCTCCTAGGAGCGGTAGTACCGCAGGCCCTTGCGGTAGTACCGGCCTCTGGCACGATAGTACCACAAGTGCTCGCGGTAGTACCGCTTCCTTGGAGCGGTAGTACTATGGCCTCAGGCCAAGCGCTGCTGCTATTGCGGTAGTAGGGGCGGATGTAATTTTTTACATCCGCGCCCTACGCGATAGTACCGCGCCAGGTGGGCGGTAGTACCGTGCGCTCTGGCCAGGCTTAGCAGCTTGCGCGGCAATAGGAGCGGATGTAATTTTTTTCATCCGCACCCCACGCGGTAGTACCGCTCCTGGCTTGTAGTACTACGTGTCGGATTTTTGCATAGATCCCAACTCAGCGGAAGTTGCCACGGATGTATTTTTATATGTTCGTGCCTTCCCAAAATCTGGACTATCCCTGCCTTGCGGTAGTACCGCAAGGGGGAGCGATAGTACCGCGCCAGTGGTTCTACCGCTCTCTGCTTCATTGCATCTGGGCTGTTCTGGTTTCTGCTGCACGGGCGGTAGTACCGCGGGGCCCTGCGGTAGTATCGTGTGCCCGCACGGTAGTACCGCGTCCCGGCGCGGTAGTACCGTGCTACGCAGGCTGAGTTGGTGGATAACGGTTGGATTTGTTCCTCCACTATATAAGGGGTGTCTTCTTCTCTGAGTTGACTCCCTCTTCTATCCCCAAGATCCATTGTTGCTCCAAGCTCCATTTTCGCCCGATCTCTCTCCCTAGCCAATCAATCTTGTTGATTCTTTAGGGATTGGTTGAGAAGGCCTAGATCTATACTTCCACCAAGAGAAATTTGATTCCCCCCACTCATCCCTTACGAATCTTGTTACTCTTGGGTGTTTGAGCACCCTAAACGGTTGAGGTCACCACGAAGCCATATTCCATTGTGGTGAAGCTTTGTGGTGTCGTTGGAAGCCTCCAATTAAGTTATGGAGATTGCCGCAACCTTGTTTGTAAAGGTCCGGTCGCCGCCTCCAAGGGCACTGTCAGTGTCAAAACCGGCGGATCTCGGGTAGGGGGTCCCGGACTGTGCGTCTAGGCCGGATGGTAACAGGAGGCAAGGGACACGAAGTTTTACCCAGGTTCGGGCCCTCTCGATGGAGGTAAAACCCTACATCCTGCTTGATTAATATTGATGATATGGGTAGTACAAGAGTAGATCTACCACGAGATCGGAGAGGCTAAACCCTAGAAGCTAGCCTATGGTATGATTGTTGTTGTCTATGTTGTCCTACGGACTAAAACCCTCCGGTTTATATAGACACCGGAGAGGGTTAGGGTTACACAAAGTCGGTTACAATGGTAGGAGATCTGAATATCCGTATCGCCAAGCTTGCCTTCCACACCAAGGAAAGTCCCTTCTGGACACGGGACGAAGTCTTCAATCTTGTATCTTCATAGTCCAGGAGTCCGGCTGAAGGTATAATCCGGCTATCCGAACACCCCCTAATCCAGGACTCCCTAAGTAGCCCCTGAACCAGGCTTCAATGACGACGAGTCCGGCGCGTAGATTGTCTTCAGCATTGCAAGGCGGGTTCCTCCTCCAAGTTCTTCATAGAAGATTTTGAACACAAAGATAGTGTCCGGCTCTGCAAAATAAGTTTCCACATATTTCCATAGAGAGAATAATATTTACACAAATCTAATCTACTAACGTATTCAGTAGTGCGACACACCACGACCAAGCCTTTATCCGAGTCGTTTCATTATCCCATCTCAGCGCGTCATGCGAGGCGGTTTCCTTGGCACGTCTTGTTAAAGCAGAGATCGTGTCCCCTCATTTCGGGATTCTCATCAATACGGGCATGGGTAACCCAACCGCGCCATTGATTACGACGGTTGGAGATAAGCGAGTTTTACCAGGCTGGTGGGGACACGTAGTTGCGTCCACCCATATAAGGGGATAAGGATCCACCTTTTCACCTACACCTTCTTCCTCCTTTGCCTATCCATTCTCGCGCACTCGAGCTCCAGCGCCCAAGTCCGCACTCCCACCTCA